TCATTTTTTAAAATTTAATTTAATTGTGTTTATTTTATTTTATTTTATTTTATTTTTAAAATTTAATTTAATTGTGGTTTATTTTTTATATTTATATTTATATTTATATTTATATTTATATTTATATTTATATTTATATTTATATTTATATTTATATTTATATTTATATTTTTGCCATTACTGGAGTTGTATACATTGATGAAGAATAGCCTCAAATGATGGTGAGCAAGAAACTAACTGCAACATGATTTTAAAGCAGTGAGATATCTTGCATGAATCTATATTTCAAAACAATGTTTGACATGTATAATTTTCAATTGGGTAGCTAACCAAGAATTCTTTTCCCCAGAATTTAAATTCATTTTTCTTTGTTTACACTGAAAATATTCTGCATTCCCCAAGAACAGAAAGCTACTCTAACTATAAAGCCTTCAAGTTGCAGCTTTTTCTTTTCTGTCACTTCTAGCAGTAAGAGACACTTATTTATGACTTTAATATAAATTTCTTCCCGAGTGTATTTGTCATTGAGGCCTTGTCAAAATTCTTGGTTTAAGTAATAAAATTTCTTTATTCCCAAAGGCATTATTCTCTATCAGAATTTTGTCTATTTTCACCCTTAAAAATGAAACTTGAGGTTTTCCTGATACTGTGTTGATTTTCTTCATCTTTAGAATTCTCTTCAGTGACCGTGATCCTTCTTGGATTTTATGTATGTGCTTTATTTTGAACTTTGGATGAACCCAAAGAGACTCCAGTTTCTCTGAGAAACTGGAGGGATGGACAAGAAAGGATTTGTACCCCTTTTCATTGCTGAAACTTTGAACTGGAGACAGAGAATGATACCTGCTAATTCAATTTGAGAGAGCAGATGGCTCGGATGACTCAAATGTCCTAGGGCATTTAAACTCTATGGCCCTTGCAATGACACTGAATGTTTATGTTCAGGTAACTGATTCCCACCTCAAGAAGGTGGGTTTAAGACACCTGAAGTAAGGTAGCTAAACATGGGTGTTTATGTGTGAGCTAGGTGCCAAGCTCACTTTATAGCCAGCAGGGCTCCATTCTAACTGGTGAGGCACGCTACCCGAGTCTGCATGTCACTCCATGTTTATTTTTAATTTCCATAAAGAATATGTAATTGTTGTGGTTTGACCCTGGCCAGACACCAGACACTCACAAAAGCTGCTCGCTGACTCTTTTCTGCCACAGCTGGGCTGAGGAGAGAAAAAAAAATCAACAATGGTTCATGAGTAGAGATAAGGACTGGGAGAAAACCCTTCAAGCGCAAAAGAGGCTCAGCTTAAAGGTACAAAGTGAATTTATTGCTAACAGAGTCAGAGGACGATAATGAGAAGTAAAGTGAGCCCTTAAAACACCTTTTCTTTCCCCAACCCCCTTCCTCCTTCCCACTGAGAGCACAGGGGGACAGCGCATGGGGGTTTGGTCAGTTCATCACTGAAATTTTCTTCTGCTGCTCTGGGAGAGGAGTCCTTCCCTTGTGAGGCCGTGGTGTCTCTCCCACGGGAGGCAGTTCTCAGTGAACTCCTCCAGTGTGGGTCCAACCTCACGAGCAGCAGCCAGACCTCACCTGCTGTAAAAGTGAGTCTCTCCCACGGGCACACAGTCCTCTCAAACCTGCTGTGACCTGGGTCTCTCTTCCACAGGGTGCAGTCCTCCAAGGACAGGCTGCTCCAGCCTGGAACAAGGGCCCTCTCTCTCCACTGGGTCTCCCACAGATCACAGCCTCCTCCAGGCATCCATTTGCCCCAGCATGGGCACTTTCCCTGTGGGCTGCAGGTGGATCTCTGCATCCCCCATGGATCCCCATGGGCTGCAGGGGCCCAGCTGCCTCAGCAAGGTCTCACCATGGCTTGTGGAGGAATCTTGGCTTTGGAGCCTGGAGCACCTCCTGCCCCTCCTTCTGCACTGACCTTGGTGTTGCCATGTTGTTTGCATCACATATTCTCACCTCCTCCTCTTCTCTGACTAGAAAAAAACTACATGTGCCCACTTTGTTTTGATTTTCTTCTTTAAAATGTTGTCACAGAGGCATTGCCAACCTCTCTAATTGGCCCAGCTTCCATCAGCAGCATGTCCATCTCCTGCTGGACATGTTGGAAGCTTCCAGCAGCTTCTCACAGAAGCCACCTCTGTGGCTCCCCCGCCACCAAAAACCAGGCCGTGCATAACCAACACAGCAATTTACCTTGTATGTCACACTGGGGTCAGAAGAAATCACTCCTCAGCCAGAGCTGTGCCAAAGGCAGTGCACAATTGTCCTCTTTTCAAACAAAGTGGATTTTCATGTGCATTTATTTGTTGAGAGTCAGGTGGGCTGTAGAATTAGCCAGAGCCATACAAAAGCCTTGCACCAAGAGCCCACCATGCAAGGTCCCATAGCAGAGTCCCACTTGCAGACTCCACGTCCTTCTTGGTCCTGGCTGTCATGAGTTCCTACACTTCTTGTCATCTCAGCAGCAGCACTTCTGAAAAGCAGAGCTGGAGGTGCACTGGCACTTCAGGAAGGAAGAGATCCGGCCACATGACAGTGGAATGCCTGGGTGGCAATGCCTCACTGCCACATGTGCTGGGCAGAGTGTGGCAGTGCCCTTGGCCCCATTACAGCACTGCTGAGAGCTGAGGGCAGGGCATGTGCCAGACACAGGAGGTGGAAATGTTGTGGGGCAGGCACAGACTCACCACAAGCATGTTTTGCTCTTCAGGATACTAGGGATACCCAGCTGGGCCTGCCAAGATTTGTATGCTAACATATCCAAACTCAACAATTATTAAAAACTCAAATATCTCTTTTCACTGAAACTTGAATTTTGACGCAATTTCAAAAACTGGAGAGGATCGCATCTGGACATTTTTATTTTGCAGTCTATCTAGAAATGGGGAACAGTTAGGGTCAGAACCATGTTAACTACTTGGAGCCTCTAAAATATGTCCACATCTTAGGTGTTGTAAGCCAACGCCATATCTGACTAGATAGATATCAGATATGGGTTTTAAAGGTATAATTATGACTAAGATGCTGAAGATAATGTCCCAACAACCAACTTTTATTCCCAAAGAACTAACCACTTTATTTTTCCATAGGAAATGCTTTAAGTGAACAGACTAAATAATTTTTAACAGCCTAATTTTTCTCCTAGGGAAATGTTGAAAACCAATTTTAAGCATCACTCCCATCTATCAATATGCAGCACATTACTGGGATGTCAAGTTTGAATAATATCTTCCATTCCTACAAAAGCAGCAATGGGAAGATATTACTCAATAAACATTTATGCAGCAGAACTAATTCTGAAAAGCATTTTTCCTGTGTTTTCTGCATTGTGGACCTTTTCTCTGCAAAGGTGTGAATGATCTCCTAACATTGAATCACAGCTAACAAAACTACCTGTAAAGAATTGGAATTGGATGGCTTTTTTCCTTGATGCACTAAGAGTGTGACTTACTTCATGGAGAGGAAGGGAAGGAGTTGTAGGAAAGGTGTTTCTTCACAACATGGCTAAGGTGAGACAAATGTACATGGGTTGAACAGCAGAAACTACTGGCCTTGACAGAGCTGAAGCCTCTTCCCCGTGGCTGCCCATGATGTCTGGCAACCACCATTCACTGCCAGCCCTGCAAATGGTGTTGAAGAACTCAGGAGGTTCTGACAGTGCAACTGTAAGCACAAAGACAATGACTTATCTTGCATCATTCCCAAAGATCACATTGATATGTGACTCTGTCGGAACCTTTATTGGATTTTTTTCTGTCAGATGGTAGTATTCAAAAGTAGATGAAAGAAGGACAGGATGATGTGGATTTGAAGAGAAAGGCAGGAGAAAGGAGAGTTACTGTCAAAGATGAAAGAGAAATATTAAAATTCTGTTGAAAAACATCTAATGTAAGTTCCTTCCCAAAATTATAAGGAAAAAAAAGACTGGTATTAAACTCTTGTTTTAATAAGTAGTTTGGATGGCCCACTCTTATTTGTGGGACAAATCAAGTTCATAAGTTACTGATATTTGGGGATGGTTGAAATTCCTTTGTGCTGTGTGGCCAGATTAATGTCAGCTCATGTCTGTATTCTTATTGTAGGTACCAAATTGTCTTTCAGAGCAATTTTCGGAGTTACTGAAAACAGTGTATCTATATACAGGTATCTGTACACCAGTATCTGTATATGGGTTTGAGGAGAAATAGCAAACCTCAATTATAAATAGCATTTATGATTATTTGTTGTACTTGATGATCTGGGTGCAATACAAGTATTATGTGTTTAGTAACAACCCAACACTTAGCTCCTAAAGAGGTTTCAGAAATAACCCTGTTCTTCATCTCAAGAGGGATGATTGCCTACTTCAGGTTTCTGTAGTGGCAGCAAAACTTTCAAACATAGATTTCTGTTTCTAAATGTCAGGGTGAAATGGTCAGACAAGTTCATCTGCAATTTCACTCTGTGAAAAGACCTATAGTATCACCTAGGTCAGGAAAAACACTCTAAATTTAATACATTAGTCAGCCACAGTCCTGGGAAAAGAAATGCACATCAGCTTCTACCAATTCAATCTGTGGAGAGCTTCTTAGGGGAAAACATGCAAGCAATTGTGGCAGCACAGCTTTAGATACCTATTTTAACCAACAGCAGAATATTTTGGTGAAAACACTTAAATACACTTTGAAGACTGTGATCTCATCCTCATGACTTCTAAGAGAACTGTCATAATAATTTTTTTAACAGCACTTTTTTATATTTTAAAAGGCCTCAACCTCTCTTTTTTGAGTTACACTCAATTAATTTTCACTCAAAAATTATTAAAAATACTTAAGTCTTCTTAATTTAGTTATCACTCTGAAGTCTGATAACCACATCAAACACAGAAGAGAGGAAACATCTGAAAAATGTTTCTTACAGAAAATTAGTAGAGGCTGTATAGTAATAATATCCAGAAGACACTTTAAAGACTCCCAAACAAATTTCCTTAGGTAAATCTTTTCCTTCAGAACAGATATTGCAGGGTTATTTTGAAACCACTTGGATTATGTTATTTTTTTCAATAGAAAAGCTATAAAGACATATTTTGTATAAGCAAAAACATAAGAAATTCTCAGCATTAAGTTATTTCTAAATGCCTTGAAGGTACAGTGGGGAAAGAAAAGGAAAATAAAGTTAAGAAGGGAAAAAACTCATCTATATCATGCTGTACCCAGTAAATATTGCAAGGTTAGATTCCTCAATCTACTGTAGTCATCTTGCTACAGGCCTCAGTGTGTTGTGGATCCTGCAATGTTTCCCACTTCCGCTGATGCAGGCACCTTTTGGGTAGCTGACATGTTTGCTGCCATGGGAGCTGGATGGCATCTCTTGCAAACACTAGCTCTGATTCCTTTGCAGATGGAACACATCCCCCTCAAAAAATATATTAATCTAACCCTTATTGTAATTTCCTATTTTAAGTAAAATTTTAGTTCTTCTCATGCCTTGAGAGGCTGGCCTGGAACAGAGACTAGACAGAGCTAAGAGAAGAAAGTAGATATTTTCTGAAAGGCCTTAAAAGGATACACCTTGTGCAGCACAAGAGCCTGGCCAGGGCCCCACCCAAAATTGACCTAAAATGGTCACAAAATGGATGACCAGTCACAAGGTTTCATACTTTTATAAGTCTGGGTCCATTTGCATATTGGGGTTAATTGTCCAGTTACAGCTTCAGGTTGTGAAGCCCCATCCTTCATGTTTTCTCTCTTCATTCTGCCATTGTTTATGCTTTTTGGGCCTGAAGCTTGTAATGGTTGTCCTTGGTCTCAAGCTGGAAAAGGATTGTTTTGTCTATCTACTCTGTGAAGAGAGCTTACTAACTCAATATGAACTTCAGAGCTACACACCTAGGCAGCACAGAATCTAAAAAATATGGAAGCTAAAACTTAAGGCATCAGTCCTCATCAGAAGCCACAGAATATGATTGAAGTAATCATAAACTTTAAATATTTTAGCATGAAATATATTCTTATATCTTAGGACCAGAACATTGTACTCTTTTGCCACTCTGGATAAAACCTCACCTCTGGAAACAGATTGCTGTTTTGCTGTTTAGTTCAAGAGGAAGAGTTCCTATACTGAGCACTTCTTTGTTCTAAAAGTATTGAAATAGCCCATGAAGTAAGGGCTTAATCATCATTAACAAAGACAACCTCAGTCTTCAGCCATTAATAACTGAAGCTATACCTTCGTGATATAAAAAATGAAAATTGTTCTTGCACATATAAGTTCCAACAAATAGATGTTCAAAATCCAGAGGAAACAGTAAAATGCATTGAGTGATCAAAGAGACTGACATCGGAGTATCCATTAAAATAAAGGGTTTAAATAAAAATTGCAGATTGGAACAATGCATCTCAGATGCTTTCTTGGTCAAAAAGGGAAATACAAATCGAGCACACCATTTTTTTCATAAGAAATGAAAATACAAGAAGCCTGTCCCTGCAGCAAGGGCAGGACAATGTCTGAAACAGTCACCCAGGCTCTGGTAGAAGATACACACAGCTGGGGGGTGGCTTATCAATAGAAAAGAATTAATGAGTTGACTGGGAATGTGAGGATATGAGAGTGTTCTTTTCTGCTTGTTTTTCCAGTTGGAAGTTTCTGCATCCTGATTTGGAGCCAGCCTGGCATCTGGAACCAATTCAGGAGAAGATGAAAAGCTTAGAGGAAAAGTCAGTTCTCACTTTGCTGCTATTTCTGGAGAAGACAGTGCCTTTGTCTGCTACCAGTTTACTGGCTTGATGTCCACAGAGGCTGTCTGTAGCCCTCAGTACCTGTTCTAAACAAAAGGTTTGCAATGCAGAATAGGGAGCAAAAGGAATTGGTAAAACAAACCCAGAAATATGGTGTGTTGAAGACCCTGTGCTTTAAGTAAGCAATTCAAAATCCAAATTAAACTCCCCCAAGGAAGAAAACTCACAATTTGCACAGTTTTATTCACTGTCATGAGGTTCCTCTGGTAGTCCCTCAAAGCCATCTGCCATAGAACAGGGATGGGGGATTACTTGCCATTCCCTTGGCACGTGGATTTTTCAGGGTTGGACATTTGATTATAGTGTCCATTCTTTATAAATAAAAAGTTTGTACATATTTTTAACAAGAATGCTAATGCGTGTGTGAATGTGTTATGTGTATAATAATGTGTACGTACACTAAATTATAATATCTAATGTATATTTTGCTAATTTATCTTTTTATATATATGAGATGTGAAAAGCCTTGCATAATTCTAAACCACCCTTTGAATCACTGCTGATTATTGTTCAATGTTTTAAGAAGTTGAGTGATACATCACAAACTGGCATTTTTCTTTTATTTTCATGTTGCCTTTTGTAGATAGGTGCTATCCCCAGGCAAGGCACCTGTTAGATGCCACTGTTACCAGGAGGTGGCTTATTCCCTAGAGTTCACAGGGACAGACATCGAACTTCTAAGCAGAAGCTGCAGAGGAGTAGGCTTCCCAAGCTCATTACCTCATGGAGGCCACAGAACATCTGCAGGGTGATGGCAGGTCATGCACAGGCAAGCACATTCTCTCTCTGGTGCTCCTCACCCCTTATCCATTTGCACCTCTTCATTAAATCATTGCCATTCTCAGCATAAAGACCTGGGAGGCGCAGGGTGCTTCACAGCACCCCCCTGACAACATCAGTTCTGGAAAGAGCAGGAACAGTCCATGTAGACAGAGGAATTCAGGCAACTTGGTTCTCAGAGATATTTCACTGAGGCCTGATTGAGGATGTATTGCTAATAAATTACCTCTCTGGCAATCTTTATCTCTAGTGCTGGTTTGCAGCACACTGGCAGCAGCCAAAGGACACCACTCCCAGCTGGAGATGACAGAGATGCTCTCTCAGATGACACAACACCTTTTCCCTTCTCTCTTTCCTTCTGCAGAAAGGGAAAACCCAGCTGTCAGCTTCAGCTTGTGATACAAAGCCAGGTCCCAAGCCAGGTCCTTGCCCACCTCCAGCATGATGTGGCTGGCAGTCAGGATCTCAGTGAATGAGTCCTCACCACTGCATTTCCCTGCCCCTGTCAAAGCAGGGAGTATATCCATGTGTTCTGCCACTCCTGGGTCACCACGCTCCTCAGAAACAAGATGCCCTCTTCCTAAATATGGAAATAGGAGAAAATGAGAAGAAGGGAGAAGAAATGAGGAGGAAGAGGAGGATGGGCTTCTGTAAATGCTGTTTTTTCTTCTGGGTGTCTACAGTTTCCACAAAGTCACAAGTGGGAGCTCTGCCCACGGCCTCCCATCCTTTGTGGATGGCAGCAATGCTTTTCTGATGTAGCATGGAAGGGCTGGTCACCAGCGAGTCACTTGGTCTGTTTGCAGAAAGACGTGGATAATATTTAGGAAGTAGAAGGGGCACCACAGTTAATAAACACTTCTTTCACTATTATTCAAATATTTTCAAAGTTTACTAGTTGTTAAGTGCAAAAAAAGCTGAGAACTGATACCAGATTTGACATCAGCAGGAATTTGGATGGAAATTACTGACAGAAAGTTACACTGCTTTTTAAGATAAATTCAGTGCCAGACACAAGAAAGATTACCACCATTGCTGCAAAAAAGAAAGATCAATTAAGTATGAAAAAATACTGTAAATTAACATTTATGTGCAGGAAGATTAACTAGGAAGCCTAAGAAACAAATTACTGTTTCCTTCATTTTAACTTGCTATTCCTTATATTGTATTTTCATGCAGAGAAATTAGATATAGTTTTTTTTGTATTTAAGCCTAACTTGGAGATGATCTCAGAACATTTTTAAGGGAGTGTTCTTCTATTTGTAAATGAGTTTTATTTGGATATTACACCTATGAGACAGTGAACGTCATTTTTTATTCAATAGTCATGAAAGATCATTTGTGATGTAGAAGAAATTATGCTGATATTTCTTCTATGCCTGTTAGTACTTATTAAAACCCCACTGGAACTGGCAAAAAAAAAAGTTTAAATGTCTTTCTGCTTTTTATTAACCTTTCAATAGATTAGTATATTTTCCTCACAAGTATTTTGTTCAGTGTAGAACCTCTTTTTCATTTGTTTACCTGTTTAGGATAAACTAGGGTTCAGCGTGAAGAACATTTTTACTGTGTGGAGAAATTACATTAATATGATATTAATATCTGTCTGTCCTTATAAACTATAGTTTCTAGAATTTGAATGTGGACAGCTGGTGTATTTTATCATTTTGGTTTTCATTGAAAGAAACTTAATATATGTAAAAATGGATGCATAATAAGACTAATCATTAAGATATGTTTTGATGCAATGAAAACTCCCTAATTACGGTATCCTAATCTGCTGTTTACACATTATAATTCTGTAAGTTACATCAGTGAGGTGTCATATATTCAAGGTGTTTCACGGCATGGAAAAACAGACTTATTTTTCAGTTCTTTACTTTCACAATAAGCAAGTTTTCCAGAACTGGGCAAGAGGGTCCAATGATCTTCATGTCCTTTATATCTCTAAATCAAATTTGCAAATTGGGTATGATAACAGGGCTAAAAAGATAAAGAAGATTATGTACTTAACAGAGTATCACAGCACATTTGCCAATTAGTTGTCTTTTTAATTTACTGTATAAGAAGCTGGCTATTGCCAGGGACTTATTCTTCTCTAATTAGAATCCAGTGTTCATGAAGCATAATTATCTGCTAGAGCAATTGCATTGACATCCTTCATTTAGTAAAATCCCTGCTCTTCAAATATGCAGGCAACTGTCATCAAATTCTGTGGAATAAACTACACATGCTGCTATAAAAAATGCAAAATTCCAGTAAAATCAACTAAAAATTTAAAAAAGCACAGTGAAGTATCTAATCTCGGCAGAAGAAAATTTTCCTTATTAAAAATGTTTCTTTCAAAATTCAAATATTTGTTTGCTATTTGCCAGAGCTGAAGAGTGTCACAAAAAATTATCTTTTGTATGTGGGAAATCAGTGACTGATGAATAACATAAATGACTGTTCAAGAAATAAATTCTGAAGTAGATGCCATTATAGACTCTCTGCCAGTTAACTGAGTGCTGCTGTATATTGTAATTACCTAAGAGTTTCATTTTTAAATTTTATTTTAACAAAAACATACCCTTCTATTCTGATTACAGTTGATAATCAAACCACTAGCAGAACATTTTTTTATTAAAATAGTCCAGTTCTCTTCAAGTGTCTTGTGAAGTCTTGTCTTTTTTACTCATATTTCATTTATGTGAGGAAAAAAACAGGTTGGAAGACTCTGGCAATGTCAGAATACTCATTTTTCTATGGCAATGGCTTTTTACTTTGGTTTTTGTGTTTCAAATGGATATATGTGAGATATGTGAAAAATCTAAATTGGAAAGAATTGATCCATCTGAAACAACGTATTTTTCTTTTTGCTGAACACATTAATATTCAAGTTTTCCAGAAGAGAGATCAAAATGTGCCTAGAAAATTCTGCAGTTTAGAAAGATTTTCATTCTCCTTATAGTTCTAGCTTTGCCTTAAGTTATGGAGCAGATATGTTACCAGAATTACAGATGAAATGGCCTCTAATAACTCTCTGATGTCTACCCGGGAAATGTGAACAGACACAAAAGCTTTAAGACAAGCAGCTTTTGAGTGTCAGCTTGAAATTCAGAGACATTTCTGTCTGGTGGCTCCATTTAGCAATTCTTGAAAAGTAGAACTGAAACAAAAGAACTGCACATTTTCTGAGTATTTTCTTCAGATAACCCTTATCCACCCTGCCAAAGAGATGGAGATGCTATTCTGGAGAAAATTAACCCTTAGAACTCTGAGAAAAGTTCAAGTCTTGCTTTTACCTTTTAAAATTTCCTGCAAACCATGCAGTGGTCATTGGCTTGTGCAAAATGAGTCTTAGCTGTCTCTGAGTGGTTGCCCATGGTTCTCTCCCAAGTTACCCTGGCGTCAGCAGAGGAAGGGCAGCAGAAATAGGTGAAATTTGAGGATGTTATTCTAAAAATGGAGGCAAAATAAACAAAGATCTTGGGCTTTGGGAAGGAGAGATTATGTTTTGCAGAGGTGGCACAGTGGATTTGTCAGGGACCAGACTTTCCAAAGAGATCCAGATGCCCTGACCCCTTGGTCACAGTAATAATATGTTATGGTCCACACTGTCACCAAGTCTGATCTTGTTTTTCAGTTGGCTTCAACTGATTGCATGCACCTAGTACTGCCCAGAAAAAGTCTGATGCCAGCCAGAAGGAAGGAAGATGAAAAGCTTCCTACTCAATTGCTGGCATGGCCTGCTACCTTGCCTCTCCTCTATGACAGCAATAAGACAGAGTTGATGGCAGAGCAGCTCTAAGCACAGTTTAAAGTTTCTTACCATCATGATTGCCACAGTTGAGAAGTTCTCTTGATGTCCTCATCCTAAGCCTTTTCAGGAATGCCTCTGTGGAAGCACTTCTGAGTCAGCAGAGGTCAACACAGACCATGGCCAACAATACAACACAAAGAGGGTATCAATGTTCTGCTTGATGTTGTGGTTTCACCCTCCTAGACCTACATCTACTGCCAGCAATGTGTAGTCTTGAGTGCAACATTAAAAATGAGAAACAAACTTGCACATTCTCCAGCTGCTAAAACACTGACAGCCCATGGTGTCCCTCTTGCTGTGGCAGCTGTTCCCATTCACTGAGCATTGGCCAGGGGAGGGGATGACATGCCCAGGCAGGATAACTGGCAGGGCTTCTAGAAGTAACAGATGACAGACAATGCTACCAGTAGGACATTTCTTACGGGAAAGGGAGTGGCTCAGGCAACTCTACAAGCCCAAATGAAGCTCCTGATCAGAAAAAAATGGAAGTTGCCAATGTGCTGAGCATGTCAGAAGCTACTGCAGGGTTTACAAAAGCAAACAGTGGCTGTGCAGACCTCTGTGCCCTTCTGTCTTCAGAGATTAATCAGATACACAGGACTTGTTGAAAATCTGTAAGAACTGGGAGGTGGGACAAATCATGGCTTGTACTGTGTTAGTTTATGTCCCCAGAATAGGAGATCCTCAGGTTGAGCATCAGCCTGCCAGTAGGAAAACTAAAACGATTTAAAATATATTATATAAAGCCAATTATATAAACAAATTGAGATAATCTCTATGTTTTTTATTAGTTTCTGCTTCTTTTCAAGTATATGGCAAATTTATTTCCCTTTTCTATTTTACCCAATAAACTAGCTAAATAAACAAAGTTCTGACAGTATTTATATATACTAATACATGCACATAAGCTCTTTTACCAATAATTTCAGCAACATATTTACAAAATTAAAAAAAAAACCCTACACAATAAGTGAAATGCCTACCTTTTTCATTGTGGTTTTTTTTTAGGTATGTTTGGCTTTTGGGGGGGAGGCTGTTGGGTTGGTTTGGGTTTTTTAAAAAATTTTAATGGTGGAAATAAATTCTACTTTAGAAGAAGTTTGCGGTACTGCAGTGAAAACTATCAGGTGAACCCATTAGAAACTTGTACAAAACTGGCTGTTTATAGCTGTCCTGCTATATTATAATAATAGCACTCAGGCATTGGAAAGATTTCTCACATGCTGTAACTGTAGTTGTGTTGTTGAATTCTGATACTTGGTAGTTTGACACCCAGTCCTTACTGGAGCAAACGTGGGGAGAGGCTACAAACTATGCCTATATACAACTCATTCCATGTCGATTTTTAACACTGTGCAGTTTTAACAAAGAAATACAAACAAACTACAGTACAGGCAATTACACAGACCACATTTAGAAGTAGATCTCCATGGAGGAAAAGATGAAGCCCTCCAATGGATTGGCAGGTCTGCACTCAGAAAATTCTAAATTCACCTTCTCTCATAAATGTAACTACAGATTTAATAAAGAATACCAGGACACTGGAAAAATAAACATAGAAAAGAGATATTTTAAGGCATAGGCACTATATGCTTTATGTTAAACTATCCATACTGTGTGGTTTGTGGTTTGGAACAAAAGCAATTGCTCAGTAATTTCTCCACAACACTAATAATAATAGCCTTGTATGCCAGTAACCTGCCAATGAACTATGGCCAGAAACAAGTCCTCAGGTCCATATTCCCAGCTGGTAAAATGGTCAGAAGTGCTGCACACACAATAGTTCCTACTGACAAGCTGAAAGATAAAATTCCCTTGTTGTCCACAGGAAAATATATTTAATATATAACTTGAAGTGGCCAAAGCAGAAGAAAGTGTTTGAGCATCTGTGGCACAGTAAACTAAGAGGGCCAGCTGACCAAAACCCATGAGCCTGGCACTGGGCCAGAGGCACAATCAACTGCATCCCTTGATAGTCCCTTAGAAATGTGCTTGGAGATTCTGTCCTACCTCCCCAAACAGTGCATCTGGCAAATCCCCGTGCCTCTTACAGCTCAAGCCAGGCAGTTTAAGCCATTGTGCCATGTGAGTGATAAGAAAAGGGGCAAAGAGCAAAGTGGTAGAAGAACCTTGGTTTGTTCAAATATCAACAAGGTGCTTGAAATCTTTCAGATATTATATTGAACTAGTCAATAAGTCAAACTCAGGGCTGGTTTTTGTTGAGTTTTTTTTTAAGTGGTGCTCAACAGATACATAATTAAAATTTTTAAGGCATTTTGTAATTATCTACAGGGTGACTGAGTCAGATTTTGATTGGTTGTGTTTAATAACAGATCTTTGTTAGTACTGTAGAGCAATACACCAACATAATACAAAATGTTCTGCTAGAAATGCCTATTTGTTATAAGAACATTTATAAATGTTAAATGTTGATTTACCTTGTGGTAATAATTTTTTTTTACACTCAGTCACATATTAAAATAGATGTATTTCACACAATGACAAATATAAAAAACATCTCATTAACTAACAGCCTCTTGGGTCAGAATTATCCTGGCTGTGAGAACAGTCCTCTCCATCTGTGGTAGATCACTGAAGAGAGAAGCAAACTGTTGTTTCTGAATAGGGAGGAAGAGTATATGTGTGCAATCATAGGCTGTTAAATCACCTCAAGGATGATAGCAGCAAACTGCCAAAAATTGATGGGGATCTCATTTAACATCATCTTAAACAACAAATTGTTACTCCAATTTTACAGTTGGGAAAATGAGGGATATAGACCTGCTGTGTAATTTCTCCACATCTGCTCAGGGAGGCTGCTGGCAGTGCTGATAAGAAAACACTGAGGTCCTAGCAAACTAATGGATTGTTGTCCTCCTGTCCTTCATGCACAAGGCATCCAAGACAAATCAGCAGCAGTTAAATCAGAAAACAAGAAATCTTTAAAAGAACCCAAAGAAAACAAAAGAAAACAAAAATCTTAATTTTGATGCTTTCTCATAAGATCTTACCTTTTTCTAAACCCTCAATTAATTCTCACTCTTAACTCATTCCATACAAGTACTTTAAAGTTGAGACCCTAACACAATTCTGGCCAAGATCTGAGTTTCTTTTAGGTCCTGTTCCCCACCAGCTTAGAAAAGGGGAGGTGGGCATTTTTGGGTTCTCTCCTGCAAGGCACTACATTGCCTGCAAAACTTCCACATGAGCAATTAACTAGTATACTTAAAACGCAGAAATAAAAAAAAAAAAAGCTGAAATAAAAAATCTTGAATACTCTACTCCTCAGCATGCTGAATTGCTAGCTCAGAAAAATGCTCTTCTGATAAAAAAAATACAGAAAGCTCACAGCTCCTTTAGAAAAATTATTTAATATTAGCATTAATTTTTCCCTTGTTTATTTTTTAAACCCTCCATCCTAAATTGTCCTTAAAATCCTGCAGAGAAAGTTTTCCTTCAGGCAAATCCCTCTAGTGATCCTGCCACAAATCTGATATCATAGAAAAATGCTTAAGTCAAGCCCCATTCTGCTTGCCTCTAAGAGGGAACAATATGTCTGAAGCTAGTATCAAATCTCAACTTAGACAAAGCTGTCTGGAACAAAGTGGACAGAAATGTGCTAAATGGCAGCATGGCAAATGTTGAACCCCTCTGGTAACACACCTGCTGGAGATGAGGGAACGTGGTGGGATGCTCATAGCTCCTTTCCAGATATCTCCTGTAGGTATCTTTGCCTTTCTGTCTCCTTGGAAAGAGTTTGTCCCCTCTGAATAACTGAGCAAAGTTAGGGGTAGGAAAAGTAGGGTTTGAGGCTTCTTTTCTACAGAAAAGAAGGACAATTTAGGGATCAATAAATGCCATGAAATTCTCTATTTAAATTAGAAACAAAACAAAACAACCCCTGACAATTGCTATTCAATACCATTATCCCACTTGTAAATAGAGTCATAGAACATTTCAGAATTTAAATCACAAATAAAACAAATTTACAGGTGTAGTAGTGCAGTAGACTACAACTTGTAGCAATCACAGGAGTGATATGGAAATACTTATTTTATGTATTAAAAAAATAGATCTGTTATTAAGCATTTTGTCAGAGCTTCGTGACAAGACCCTGAAATAATCACATTAGGAACCACAAAACCCATGATCCTTAGGGAGACAAAGTCTTCCAGACCTTCTCTATTTTTTTAAATATTATTCCCAAAGCAAAAGCAGATTCTGATGATTGGAGGAAGTAATATAGGTACCCACAGTTACACAGACAATTGAAATACAAAATCTTGGAGGAATGTATTTCATATGTGCTAGTGGGAAACATTTGTAGGGTAAGGCTGCATTTAAAGTAACAATAAATACAAATGCTTAGTCTTCCTTATATTATTCTGGCAGAAGGAGTGCATGCAAATATTAAATTCATAATTTAGGTTTATTTACCTGCAGTTTCATGATTTTCAAGAAACCTTTAAGCTACAGACTTCATTTTAAGTAATTGCAAACATCTGATCTAGTGCAATGGTTTGACAGCTGGAAAGTGTAACACAGAAAATGTGTGGGAATTTGCATTTCCACAGCCTAACACCAGTCAGACTTCTGCTGCTCTGCTGCCTTTGTACCAGCCTCTTTCATCAGATCACGCATTTTAATGAAAAAGCATTGCAGTAATCAGTTTGAGAAGACTTAAAACCAGGGATAGAACCTGACCTTAAAAAATGCAAAAACCTGGAAATATTCTCCAGTGGGAAGCAATTAGAATACACAAAAGTTGGGTGTTACTGAATGCTGCAGGAGGCAAACAGAGCAGTGCAGCCATGGAAACCATCAGCAGGTCCTCTCTGGTGGGATGCACAGAACCTCGGAGGGATGCACACAACTCCCAAAACTGCGCCTCCCTCCTTCCTCTGCTTCCTGCTTACTTCCTCTTCTGCCTTGAAATGAATCATCAGTGAACAGGTGAATAGGAACTGCCAATCAATATACCTCTGTGGATTCCAGAGATAGGCTCCTGAAGTGCTTGTCAATAAAGAAAATTTGTTCTTTCCCCCATAAAATATGTATGATTTTTCGGTTACCTGAGGCCCCAAATCACAATACTACCATTTTATTTAAAAGATGATGTCCTACTTGAAATAATTTACCAGCCAGCAGATGAGTGCCCAAAATTGCCACAGTTTTCAGTAGAGGATACACAGCCTCTGAAAAGAAGCAGAAATCATATGCAAAAGAGATAAATAGACAAAAATAAGTGTTTTCATAATTTTCATAATGAATTTTCATAATTCATAAACAGGTTCTAGCAAATAAATATAACCCACAAAAATCAACACTCCATTACTCTTGCCTCATTGTTTCTTAACTAGAGAACCATTTGTGTTATAAAAACCCCTAAAAGAACAAAAAATAATGAGTGGTATTCATTACTGATGTCATTCCACTCAATCTAGCACAGACACAGAATCTGGATAAGCATTTCAACTACCCTTATTTAGATGAGTACTACTTAAATAAAGTTCATTCAGCAATTGCTCCTGCAAACCCTAATCCTTTTAATAGGCAGTCATTAGTGGTAGTTATTAAGCAAAAAAAAAAAAAAGAGGAAAAAGGAAAAAACAAAATAAGGAAAAGGCAAGGAAAGGCAAGGAAAAAGGTGAGGCAAGGCAAAGACAAGGCAAGGAAAAAAGGAAATAAAAGATAAAAGAGGTTAAACTTAAGACTACTTTAAAACACATAAGATACCATATAAAATGATATTGCAGAACCATTTGAAATATGTCAAAAAGAAATAGAAAAAAACCCACAGACAGCTTTCATTATGCTTTTATAAACTCAACACATTCATATGATTAATATTTTGGAACTTTAAATAAGGAAGGAACTCCCTGTCTGAAATGTAATTGAATGTAATTGTTTCAGCATACTTTTACATGGACATTTTTTTCATATCCTTTCCCTTCAGGTAGTAGCAGAAGACTAGCAATGTTGGTGAATCATTGTGTAAGCAGCCACAGAAGTGTTTAACCATAGCAGCATTAAATTCACGTTGACCAAATTTAACAAAAAACCCTGCCTTTCCAATGATGTTTTTACCATCATTTACACATAAATCCAGTTACAGACATCATGATGAAAGGACCGAGTGCAGAGGGAGCCATACTTTTGATTTGTTTTGTGGGAGTTTTGGAGTTTTTCGTGGTAAGTTTTTTTTGGGGGGGTTGGGTTCTTTTAGTTTGGGTTGGGTTGGGTTTGGTTTTTTTGGTTTTTTTTTCTGATTGCATCAATTTTTTCTTTGAAATTCCTTTGAGGAATTACTTCACACGTATTGCGATGCCCCGGCTGCCTGCGGGGCTGAGGGGGGAGCAGGAAGGACGTGCCCCGCTCT